ATATCCCCCTCCATCTCCTCCTCCTCGACCCCCCCTATAGGAGTTACTCACGGTGTTACTCGATATAAACATATCCTGCCCCTCTGCTCTTCTCGAATCAACCAATTCGTTGCCTACTACCATCTCCAAATCCAATCCAGCAAATTCCAGCCGCCATCATGCCTATCCCAGTTCCAAAGTCCGACAGCCTCATGGAGATGTTCAGCCTCAAGGGCAAGGTCGTCGTCGTCACCGGCGCCTCTGGTCCCCGCGGCATGGGCATTGAGGCCGCCCGAGGCTGTGCTGAGATGGGAGCCGACGTTGCCATCACCTACTCCTCTCGCCCCCAAGGTGGTGAGCAGAACGCCAAAGAGCTCATGGAGAAGTACGGCGTCAAGGCCAAGGCGTACAAGTGCAACGTTGGCGACTGGGCCGACGTCGACAACTTCGTCAAGCAGGTCATCAAGGACTTTGGCAAGATTGATGCCTTCATTGCCAACGCCGGCCGCACCGCCGACAGCGGCATCCTCGAGGGCTCCGTCGAGTCCTGGAACGAGGTCATCCAGACCGATCTCAACGGCACATTCCACTGTGCAAAGGCCGTAGGCGCCCACTTCAAGGAGCGTGGCACCGGCAGCTTCATCATCACCTCCTCCATGTCCGGCCACATCGCCAACTTCCCCCAGGAGCAGACCTCCTACAACGTCGCCAAAGCCGGCTGCATCCACATGGCCCGCTCCCTGGCCAACGAATGGCGCGACTTTGCCCGTGTCAACAGCATCTCGCCCGGCTACATCGACACCGGCCTCTCTGACTTCGTCGACAAGAAGGTCCAGGATCTCTGGCTCTCCATGATCCCCATGGGCCGCAACGGCGACGCAAAGGAGCTCAAGGGAGCCTATGTCTACCTCTGCAGCGACGCCAGCACATACACCACCGGTGCTGACTTGATCATCGACGGAGGATACGTCTGCCGATAAATGTGCAGCTGTCTCTGCGCAATCACTTAACTATGTCTATGTCTATCGAGCTGCTTTGATAGTTGAGCGGCCGCCGCTTGGGAGAGACGCCCGAGTGCAGAAGCGCCACCCAGAAATGTACCTAGTTCCTTCGCCGACGCGGAGTAGATAGTGAATACATGTCCTGTGCGCTTAATCGTAGTCTTCCTTGTCCATGCTGCTGCTGCTGTAGTTGGTGCTGTTGTCCTCGTAGATAGTTTGATAGCTCGTTAACTAGCTAGCTAGCTAGTGGAGGCTGGCGTTTTTTTGGTGATGACCTCACAGGCTGCAACCTCGCATCTCCGCAGAACCTCCCAACCACCACCAACTCCCGCTCGATGGCGCAGACAGAGCGGACATGGCACTGACCTCGGTGCGTACAGCAGTAGTTTGGCCCTTGACAGGCTGCCAGAAGCTAACAGCAGCTGTTTCTCTCGTTTAGTGGAAGACCTTCGACTTCTTCGACGTCTCGCAGGTGGACTTCGTCGACAGCGAAGGCAGCTCCGTCTTCACCGTACGCGCGCTTCCTCCCCCCCTGTATCGATACGATATCTACGCCGTCTATCTAGCTTGAAGAACCTCTGCTGACAGTGACCGCGTGGGTATATTAATAGAACGATGTAAGCTGCGTCTGCACCGGGTCAGATAACCTCTTCGTCGGCACTACCAACGGCAACGTTCACATCCTCTCCCGGCAATACAAAGTCGTCCGCTCATTTCGGGCATACGATGGCGCCTCGGTCACGCATATGAGACAGGTCCCTTCGACCTCTTACCTGGTCACAATAAGTGAGGATCTGTCCAACGAGCCCGTCCTGAAGGTATGGGCTCTTAACGAGACCGAGAAGAAGACTGGGGGACCCCGTTGTCGGTCCACGAAATCAGTCCAAAACAAGCTAAGACAGTTCCCGGTACGATGAATGGCTACCATGTACGCTCTGAGATGAAGGCAGAAGGCTCATATCTGCACCTCTAGATATCTGCATTGGCAGTCCTCGATGACCTCTGGCAAGTTGCTGTCGGCTTTGCCAATGGCTCCGTCACGCTAATCAGAGGCGACCTCATACACGACCGCGGAGCCGAACAACGCATAGTATTCGAATCAGAAGAGCCCATTACGGGGCTCGAAATACAGCGATCCGGTCCCGCGACTCTGTTCATCGCTACCACCAGCCGTATACTCTCACTAGTCATCGGAGGAAAGGGAGATGGAAAGCCAGCGCGTGCCCTCGAAGACCTGGGATGCGGAGTTGGTTGCATGACTTTTGACCAGGATACCGGTGACATTCTCGTGGCTAGGGAAGACGCAATATATACATATGGCCGTAGGGGACGGGGGCCGAGCTTTGCCTTTGACAGCCCAAAAACCTCGGTCAACGTTTTCAAAGACTATATTGCCCTGGTTTGCCCGCCTAGAGCTGCCCTGTCAAGGACAGAAACCGTCAGCAGATTTGGGACCAGCCAAGTTGATGACATCTTCAATACCTCCACCTTCACTCTCCTGGAGTCGGACTTGAGATTTATCGCACATTCCGAGTCTCTTTCAAATAGTGTGAAATTTATCTTTATGGAATGGGGTGATTTGTTTATCGTCACTGTTGACGGAAAGGTACGGTTACACATTCCTCGCCAAATTTGAAGTCTTGATCTAATCTTCTTGTAGGTGAATCGGTATCATGAAAAGCCACTCCAGCAAAAACTTGAAATATTGTACCAGAGGAATCTATATATATTGGCAATTAACCTGGCGCAAAAGTCGGGTGTCGACAGACTACAACAAAATGTCATATTTAGAAAGTATGGCGATTTCTTGTACCAAAAGGGGGATTATGATACCGCCATGCAGCAGTATCTGCGGGCCATTGACAATACTGAGCCCTCCCATGTTATTCGAAAGGTGGGCTTTTCTCCCCCCCCCCCCCCCTATCTCACCCCTATAATGTTGCTATCTTCTAACGACCTCGTAGTTCCTTGACACTCAACGAATCCATAACCTGATTGACTACCTGGAAGAATTACATGATCACGACAAGGCAACGGCCGATCACACAACATTACTCTTAAACTGCTATGCCAAGCTAAAGGATACTGAAAAGCTGGACTCTTTCATTATGGCACCAGGAGAATTGAAATTTGACCTAGAAACCGCTATAGCCATGTGCCGCCAGGGTGGTTATTTTGAACAAGCAGCATACTTGGCTACCAAACATGGCGAAAGTGACATGGTGGTTGACATCCTGATCGAAGACTCGAAGAAATATTCTGAAGCCCTTAATTATACTTGGAGTCTTGAGCCAGAGCTTGTAAGTGTCTGCCAAATAGTGTTCCTTGTAATACCCGGACATTTGTTACTAACCGCTGCTTTTAGGCCTATCCAAATTTGATGAAATATGCCCGTGTATTGCTTGAGCATTGTCCGGAATCAACAACACAGCTCTTTATTGACTATTACTCCGGGAGATACAAACCTCGAAAGGAGGAAGAACAATCCCCTGAAGTCAAACCACAAGCCACTGGTGGCGCTGTTCAGAATATTGCATCATTCATCCCTCTGCCATACATAGGAGGCTCTAAACAAGACAATAAACAAAGCAATGGGACCAATCCTCAAGCAACGGCAGAGCCCGAAGATACAAATGAAGAATCTTCGACGAATTACGAGATTCCAAAACCCAGAACTGCCTTTTCCTCCTTCGTCGATCATCCTGATCAATTCATTACCTTTCTAGAGAAACTCCTTGAACTAGATGGGCTGAAGGAAGAGGACAAGGTTGATCTGTACACTACCTTGTTTGAGATGTACCTGGATACGGCAAACCGCAAGAAGTCATCTTCAGAGAAGCAAGAATGGGAATCAAAAGCAAAAAGCTTGATACAGGGGAAAAACGTAAGTGTTATACTATAATATACTCCCTTGTCTTACATATGTTGATTGTTTTATAGATTCCCGTATCTGCGTCAAATGTTCTGCTTCTATCGGACCTGTCAAATTTCCATGAAGGAAAAACCCTGGTCCGCGAAAAGGAAGGTCTTAGAGCAGATATTCTGCGATCATATATATCAGCCAAGGATACCCAAGGCGTGATAAAGGCTCTCAAGAAATACGGACAGGAAGAGCCACAGCTATATATCGATGCTTTGACATACTTTGCATCTAGCCCAAAAATCCTCGAAGAAGCAGGCGGTGAGATGGATGCGGTTCTTCAAAAGATTGATAGGGACGGGTTGATGGCTCCCTTGCAAGTGATACAGGCATTCAGCAATAATTCTGTGGTCACTATGGGTATGATTAATAAGTATCTCAGTGATAATATCGAGAGGGAAAGAAAAGAGATCTCCAATGTTAGCCCTCCCCCCCTCTTGTCCTCTGAGAATTCTCAGCACTAACTAGATGCCTCGCAGAACCGCCGCTTGATAGCCAGTTATTCAAAAGAAACGGAGTCCAGAAAGCAGCAGATGGAAGAGCTCGGTTCCAAACCGACTGTCTTTCAGGCACGTCGTTGCTCATCTTGTGGCGGTAACCTTGATCTTCCCACAGTTCACTTTCTTTGCAAGCATTCCTTCCACCAACGGTGCCTCAATAAGGTTGATGAAGATGCAGAATGTCCCGTCTGCGCGCCACATAACTCAACGCTCAAGGCTATACGTGAGAGACAGATCAAAGCAGCTAGCCAGCATGAGCTGTTCCACTCTGAATTGCAGCGTAGTAAGGACCGGTTTGGGCTTATCAGCGAGTTCTTTGGCAGAGGTGTGATGACGCCGAACAATACTGAGTAATATAGATCATAGAATCTTTAACCATCATTTGGGGTTATTGCCGCACTACACTTTCTTTCCGTTATGCTACTGTCTCTGGCATTTTTGTCTTTAGTTTCGACAGGCGAGAGATGGGCTCTTCGCCGGCAGCCTCAGCTTAACCAGGCAAAGGGCGATCCAAGATTGGAATACTGTAATATTACGGTAACATTGGTGTGTAAGGATGGAACAACATTGGTCCTATCTGTGCATTAAGTCCACGGTTGTAGTAATACTACCTTATAGAAGAATCAGTACTGATTAACACCGATATATTGAAACTAATAATATATTACAAGCTTGACCCGAGCGCCGGAGATACCCATAGTGCTGCCTACAGAGAGTATCTTGAAGGGAGAAAAAAAAAAAGCTTTGGTAAGGTAAATAAAGTACGAAGGGGAAGCTTAGTAAATACACTCGATTTTCTATCCAACAATATCTCTTGATTCTCCTTAGTAATATAATTATGTAATCATTACCCTGTCCATTTAGTGTGCCGGAGTACGGAGTAACATTCATCGACTTCTTCACTTCGTCTCTAGAACACAGAAAGAAAATATAGTGAAGACAACACACGCTACCATTGTTAAATTTATCAGAAACCACTCTCTACGTGTTTGTATTTTGCACTGATGGCCCATTTAGTCTGTAGTAATCACGTCATCGACTTCTTGTCCTCTTTGGGCAAGGACAACCCTCTCAAAATAAAGAGGACACGCTCTCCCACATTTTCAATGAGCAAAGGCAGTTATCTTTTTCAGTTCTTACAAGCTTGCGAAAAGTCTCAAAATCTTCTCCTCTCTCTATCTATGAGCTAGACGCGTCTGAATCTGCAAATCGTTCTATAGTTCAGTTATCTATTCTGTTAGGCAAAATGGTTGGTGTGACACGCAGACCAGAAGGGTCAGAGGATTCTGGTTACGGTAGTGGTAAGTATTTGTCTACATCTCTAATATATAATACCTCGACTGACGGACTTTAGTGTCATCGACGGGCTCCCAGATCTCGATAGAGCGCTGGATAGCCAGCAAAGACAAGTTTCGAGTCTCTGCCGATGGCCAGATCCCCCTTCTTTGGCGCTCCAAACTGCTTCCAGTGGGTGTTGAGATAAAGGACGCATATAACACCCTTATTTCACCACAAATTCCAGCTATACTGGCTAGGCATGAACTTTCTTTTGTCGGAGACAGACTCCATCGCCTCCAACCGTTAGATGCGGCCTATGAAACCAGGGATGTCATAGAAATTTCAACACGGGACGAGAGACCCAGCCGAACGTGGCGAGACGCGGTGAATGAAGTTCTGGCTTTAGTCAAAGAGAATATCCCGAATTCGCAGTTGATACAAATCCTGTTGGTCAACACTGATCGAATGTATGACGATGTTTCTAGTGCTCTCCCCAACGACCCATCGATTGTTGAGCCCTTGAAGCGAGTCAAAAATAGAATTGTGGAAGAGGTTGAGATCTCTATGAGTGACCTGAGGCCATCTATTGCATTCCACATGCGACGTCGACGAAACGACTTTAATGCACCAAGGAAGCCCACGGTTATTATCTTCTGCCACCCTCACTCAGTGTGTGACTTTGCAGCTGTCGAGGAGAAGATTCTTAACATTTTGAACGAGCTAGATATCTCAGCGTTTCTAGAGATTCTGCCAGGAAAGCTAGTACTTACAAATCCAGGATTTATATTGAGGCGAATGCGCATTGCCCCGGAAGAGCTACCAGAGCATCCAGTAAATGGAAGCTCAATGGGTGTGAAAGGGAAGGCAGATTCAGCTGGGACATTGGGAGGCTGGCTAATACTCAACCTTCCCCGAGAGAAACGGCAAATAAAATGCGCCCTAACATGCTATCACGTTGTTCGCAGCAACGACCCCAGTGTGACAGCCCATACTGATGCACACGGGATACACTGGAATGACAAACGTGGGTGCCTAGCTATCGAATACCCGGCGTCTCTTGATACACAAATGGCAATGGCTCGCCTGGTAGAACTTCGTCGATTCCATCCTGATGACCAACAGCTAAAACAACAACAGCGAATGCTATCTGAGCTTGTAGCCGGTCCAGGAATCGGCAAAGTACTTCTTGCATCAGGCCACCAAGTTAGGGACAACCATAGGCTTGATTGGGCGCTTATCGAAAGCCCAGAGACCTTTTCTAGCAATAGACCCCCTTCCACCCGCCAAGGCAGCTTTGCTTTACCAACAGCTGGTCCTCTATATCGCCCTCACCCCGATGCGAAGATAACACAATTTGGTATACCAAAGGAAGACGACTGGGTTGTTCGAATTGGCCGGACTACAATAGCCTCTGCCTGCATTAGCAGCATGAAAAAGGTGGAATGGCCTTCTGGCTTCTTTACTCAAGAGATTGAACTCGTATCCGAGGACGATGACGTTGCGGACGAGGGGGATAGCGGATCTTTCGTTGTTAATAGGGAGGGGAATCTTGTGGGCATGATATTTGCGGTGTATAGGTCGCCATCTCGCTTCCACACTGCTTATATGATGACATTTAATTCCATTCAATCCCACGTCAAAGACATGACGGATGGAGGGTTTCTTAGCTTTGACTGAAGAGCTATAAACGCTGTTACAAGCTGGTTTTTAGTGACTATTAGTTAGTGTGATACAACCGGTCTGCAATGATAGATCACTAGCTGTAAACCAGCTGCTAGAACATTTTCTTATACCTACCATGCAGAATCCGTCCTTTCCGATACAGGTAGCCCAGTTTCAAAAGTATAGCATCATTTATTGTTGTATTATTTCTGTGCAATTCTCTTGACATCAATAGTCGTAGTTATCCGACACGAACCCATCCCGTCACCCGTACTACTTTCCAGGGAAGAACTTCTTCACTAAAATCACTTCATCCTAAAAGCAAGAACCACCAACAAAATCAAGCTACCATCGCCTTTTTAATACGACTTTTTAATTCGACAATGTGCTTATAGGTATGTTGTAGTAGTGGTTGACTCCAGCTCTTTTTTCATCACGAGAATTAAACGGATTTAGACACCCTTGGTAATATAAATATTCTTAATGTCTGTGATTCTACCCTCACTGCCTGCAATCTGCAACTAGTGATGACCTGCATTCTATTGGTACGAACGCAATAGCCAAACATTATAGGAGGGAAAAGCCATTGGAGGGATATAGAGTTAGAGCTATCACAGGGAATTCTCTACACCATCTTCTCTTTTAGTTTGTGATTCCGTTCTTTGTCCAACTCAGGATAATATGGTAAGACCCAGCCATGAACATCCGGTTTTGAAAAACGTGTCATGAGCTCAGGGATCCGAAGGATGCATATTAACCAGACAACAAAATGGAAAACGGTAACTCCCCATTGGCTGTGTGGTAGGTAATAAGGCATAAGGCTTCGGTTTAATTCCTGAACATTATTGACGAAAGGGCGCAATTTCTTATCATAATTTGCAAGGGCCTTAGGTAAGTTATCGGTATTTTGGTTGATCTCTCCAGCCAAAACGTAGGCACCAACAAGTGCAACGGTGGTACCTAGCCCGGTGAATGGAGATGGGCAGTATCCAGCATCTCCCACCAGAACAACTCGGCCTTTATGCCATGTATCCGTGCGGACTTGCAGGGCCTCCTCGCAGTAGAAAGACTTCGTTGTCTCCAAACCCTTGAGAAACCTATCTGCCTGCCAGCCCGCATTATGAAACCTCTGGGAGAGGAAGTGTTTCTGTTGTTCCATTGGTGCCTTGGGAATGCGTCGTATATCCTCTGAGCTGTCACGGAGTACAATATAGGCCTGCGAGTCTGTAGAAGTATAGCTTCTGCGAAATAGTACGCGGCCACCCGAGCTGTGGTAAGCAACGCTGATGTTGGTATCCGACTCGGCACGGGGAATAAACCAGTATGCCAACATGGCACCTATCCTCCAGTAAGGGTCTGGGGCACCTGGTGGTAGAATGGCTTTTCGAATACGTGACCCCTGACCATCAGCTCCAACTACAAGATCAAAGGTGTCAGTAGAGCCGTCGGAGAACTGGACTGAAACCGTATTTTCGTCCTGCTCGAAACTTTCGACGGTTATTCCAAACATATATCCCACATCCCCTTTCGTTGCATCGTATAGTAATCGAACCAGGTCTCCGCGCATAATTTCATAATCGGAGGTTAAGGACTGTGCACCCTTACCAGTCTTGTTAGCAAGAATAGTCCCTTGTACTTTATCCTGCGAGTTGACGAAAGAGACGCCTATCTCATCAACAGATCGGCTGCGAATGGCCCCAAGAAGCCCCATGCGCCTCACTACTTCAATACCCTGGGCTCGAAGGTCAATTTGCGCACCCGAGGCTCTGAGGGCATGGAAACGCTCAATTATTGTCACTTTATGCCCACAGGACGCAAGCAGGTAAGCTAACGCAGGCCCGGCACAACCACCGCCGCAAATAAGAACCTTCAGGGGAGCCATGTTGCCGTAGATAAACTATAAGGTTTTTTTTTTTTTTTTTTTATTGTTTTAGGCGGTTGTCCTTAGCAATGGTAGTTATCAAGATTGAAAGAATATGGGTATCTAACAAGAGGAAAGGAATAAGCAACCTCTGAAGAAAGCATCTTCAAGTTAGGGTGTAGCAATTTCTTTTAAACAGACCCGACAGCAACTGTCACGTAACTGGACCGGGGAAGGTCCTTTCTCCTAGTCTAACATGGCCGCTGCTGTTTGAATTCTGCGTTTGTCGCCCGACCTCAGCGGTGAGACGAAGTTGCACAAGTCTCGCATGTTCTGCGGCGAGGCCATTCATTATATGCGGCAGCTCTTCGGAAGTGTAGTCAGGATGGGATCACAGACCTCCACTCCAGGCCCGATCTCGTCCTCGGCGACCTTACGACCCAGGGAGGCTAAATATAGGAGTAGCGCGGTTTCAACGTTATATAGAAACAAAGGCCAGTTATCAAGCTTCAGCGATATTCAAATGAAATAGCCAATTCGGACGACTTCGATG